CTGCGAAGGATGAAGCAGCCGCGACGAGAGCAACGACGCAAACGCGGCTCGCCGCCGCACACGCTGCGCCCCGCGCCGCTCTCCCCTCCACTCGCCCGTACCCGACGCACAGCAGCACCATAGAGAGGATGTCGGTCGGCAGCGCAACACCTCTCCCATCGATCCCGCCGCAGTCGCCAGCCCTGATGTGGGAGAAGGACAGACGAAAGATGCGTGGGAACGTCGCCCGCCAGGCATCGGTGCCAGGCTCCGTCACAAAGCCAAATATAGCCGACGTCATGAGCAGCACGTACGGCCAGCTGCAGTGTACAAGGACGACCATGTAGAAGCGGAAAAGAGCCATCGTGTTGCTGTCCTGCAGCGCACTCATCCGCAGAATGAGGCAGTCCATGAGGCCCGACGCGCGCGTCGCGGGGTCCAACACTCGGCTCCCCACGACCTCCGGGCCGCCAGCGTCGTCGCTGCACACATGCGATGCAGCAGGCACACTCCATCAGCACAACGCACCGCCGCACCGGCACGAGCGCCCTCTCCACGCGCCGCCCAATGCCAGGCACCGTAGGCAACGCATCGTACCCGACCGCCTTGCGCAGCGACAATACCGGCGGAGCGAAGCGCCCCTGACCGCACCATCACCCGTAACGCCCAGCGGCTTCGACAGCAACGATGCAGCAACTGCCGCGTCAGGGACACGACGCGGGGAGCACCAGTAGATGGCCGAGCACAGGTCGCTCTCGCCGCAGTTCGCCTCCTGCCACAGGTAGCATCCCCACACCCTTGTGGGTGTGTGACCTTCACTTCTCGCCACGGCAGCTCCTGCGCACATACAACACACACCACACGAGGAGTCACAGAAGAAACAGACAGACAGTCCACACCAGCGCACTGACAAACAACGATAATCACAACAGAACACAGCGAACGAGTAAAGGGGAGAACAGAAAATAAAACGGAACGCGCAAGTGCTCTCAGCTACGGTAACCGCCATGTAAAGCACATATCAGCCAAATGCAAAAATAAAAATAAAACAGTCACAATCGTTTCAAGTCGAATCCCAACTTGATCATCAGACACAAATGCCCGCAGACACAGAGAGACAGAGAGGAGAACTAACAAAAAAGTCAACATCCAACACAGAAAAAAAACAGTACAAAAAACGGCTGTGAGAACTTCCCACAACGACATAAAAAGAAGAAACAGCAGCCATACTCACTTCGGGAAGCAGAAGGGCGTAAACAACAGCGTTGAGATGCAAGGCAGTGCTCGTAATGTCATATACGTTTCTCTCCTACGCGTCTTTATGACTTTTGTCAGAGACACCGCCCCACTAGACACGAGTGGAGAGGCTGTTCATTGCAACGCATTTATGTCACGAATATAACGTTTTTTTTGTTTTTTTTGTCGGTTATATAATTTTCTTTTCGTCTGCTTTAATTTGTTGAGTTTGTATTTTTGTTATTTGTCGGGTTGTGATCCCGCCTATGAGGAGACTTACGCTGGGAGCTACAGGTGGCCGTCTCTACACATCCGCGGCTGCGCCCGTATCCCTCCTCCCTGGTGCCGCCACAGGCCTAATAGGCTAGTCGTGCAAAAATCGTTGTAGAGAGGCGATGTGATTTTGGCTGAGTGGAACACGAAACTATTAAAATGAACAAAACATAGTCATACACAAAATACTCCCGGTACTGCATGATAGACTTCTTGTCCGAATGGATAGGCCGGTGAGATCATAGCCTTTCCACTGCAAGAAGGCACTATGGGAACACTATCGCTATGCATAATTTCCCCACATTTTCTCTGACTTACAGAATGTGACAAGCGGAGATTCCTCAGCGCGGCGTAGCGCAGCAACTGCAGCCTCGCTTTTCACAATGTGGTCGTTGAATCGTTTTCACGGTGCTAAGCCTGGATCCAATTCTGAAAGGAGTGCGAGGTGCCCTTTCTATGGTAGCTTAAGGACTTGCGGTAGTGCTTCTTCTAGTACTACCCAATTTATTACAGCACTTTTATGGATGTGTAATTTTCACCTTCTTTCTCACTTGCATGGTACGACACAGTGTGATTCTGTACGGTTCTTCTGTCGTCTTGGTCGGTCCATAAGGGTAATTGTGTTTCAAGTGAGCTGTCATAACTCCAGCATAGCTGAAGTTTCGTTTCCCCATCGTACAACATAGATTAGGCCGTGATACTACATTGCGGGGCTGTTTTAGGAGAGAACACTGCGTAGAACGGATGAATCACACTGACACTACCTCAGCTAGGGATATTCAATCACAGTATTCGTATTGAAACGGTGAGTCTTACAATTTCAGTTAAACCAAATGCCATATTGCCCCTTCGTTTCTTATTCTGCAGCAACAGCAATGCACTGCTGCCCCAAACAACAAAGGCGCCACACCCCGCACAACAGCACACCTTTCGGTAGCTTCTACGCAACCGTTGCACTCTCAACGTTTCGTCTG